GCGTCAGAACCAACTCCATGGCACATAACCACCACGACCATATGATCTAAATAGCAGAGTTGCAAATGAGTCAGGTGGGATGCTGACCAAGTATCAATTAGGGGGCCTTCTTATAAAATATGACACAGGAAAGGACTCTATGTTGGCTAGTCCACTTTCTAATTCCCTGGAATTCAAGGTTCTTTCATATGAGGGGGCTTCAAAAGTTTGTGAAAAAATGGAATGCAAGTATAATGGAAATTTTCCATGAACTTTTTGAATCTCCTTTGTATTTCCCTTATAAGTTAATTACTTTAACCCACTCTTCTGTGCCAGGTCACTGTCACACAAGTTGAAAGAGATCTTACCTGGGAGTACCTGTTCTTCAACTGACTGGTGACATGTTGCAGGTAGTAAGTAGCATGTTTCACACTAAGATCTCATGTGGAACCACATCTTTGTTTTGAAGGGATTAAAAATGATTTCACATCATGTTCTCATTAATCTGTGTTTTTGATGGGTTGATAGGAAACTAATTCCAGCACAGTCTGCTTTGAATCCCTATTTTTAAGCATGCAGGGTCCGTCACGAGATTTAAAATCCATTTACCAACCACAAAAAGCCTTCCTTTCTGCACTCAGAGAAAGATTTTATATTAAACACAGATGGTCATGCTCCCTAAGGAGCTAAACTAATACGTTTATTATCTAGATAAGACTTTTTTTTTGTTGTTCATTAGGTAACTCATTTTTAGAAAATTGGGAAGATTTACAGATAAAGAACAAACATTTCCTTAACAAAAAAAATTGAGATGATTGCATGTAAGAACAGGATTATTCTCATAGACTCTATGCCCATTTAAGGGTAAAAAGGCTAGTTTCGCTTTGGAATAAAATGGAAAGTCAAGAATAGTTCCATGAATTTATTTTGGAGAGACCCTAACTAGGAGACTCTTACTTGGTAAGTGTTAGAAAAGCGGGCAAGCAGTTTATTTGCACCACTTAATCTGGTAGTGTAGAGTCCTGGTGTGGCACTGTGGGCTAATGCATTGGACTGCAAAGTCATTTGAACTGCAAAGTTGGTGGTTTAAGCTCACCAACTACTCCTTGGAAACCCTATACAGGATCGCTATGGGTTGGAATCCACTCAATGGCACTTAACAACAACAACAACAACAATCTGCTAGCATGGAGTCCTGGTGTGGTACTGTGCCAGACGGCAAAGTTGTTTTGAACAGTAAGGTCAGCAGTTCAAGCTCACTAGTCACTCCTCGGAAACCCTATATAGGGTCACTATGGGTTGGAACTGATTTGATGGTACTTCACAACAACAACAATAAATCTGGTAGCGTAGTGGCTGCGAGTCAGGCTGCTAACTTCAAGGTCAGCAGTTTGAAACCACCAATCATTCCGGGAAGAAAGATGAGGTTTTCTACTTCTGTAAAGCCTCGGGAACCCTATGCAGGGTTGCTATGAGTCGGAAGCGACTCCACAGCACACCACCACTAACCACAAGCTTTGGGCCCCAAACATTTCTTGGTAACATAAGCAAGGAATTGTGCTTTCCTTGCTTATACCTCTTTCTTATCTGGGCAACTCTCCTCCTACGGCAGGTTGTTGTTGTTAAGTGCTGTACAGGGATGCCTAGGAGCAGCTGGTTAGTCTGAACTGCCGACCTTGCAGTTCAAATCGACTAGAGTGGTATAGTGCTTATCCTACAGTGTCACAACAGGACTCCATAGAAAGAGAGATTATATCATATATGCTGTTGTTATTAAATGCCATCGAGTCGGTTCTGACTCATAGCGACTTTCTTAGGGTTTCTAAGGAGCAGCTGGTGAGTTGCAACCACCAACCTTGCAGTTCAAACCAACTTGAGGTCCCAAGTTTATCTGACAGTGCCACACCAGGTCTCCCTTTTCTTCTTAAGCGTGAGCATCACATGGCATGTGGTCAATCCACTGCTCTGTGGATTGACCACATGCCATATGTCTGTGGAGGGAATAGGGATACGTGCAGACCATCAGCCATACCCACTATTGAAGCTGAGCGTGCTCAGAAGCACTGTTGCAGCCAGTGACAGGGTGAGCTGTGTATTTCTTGGTGACTTTGGACCTTGGCTTGACAATTTGTATAGATAAGAGGGTCAACAGTAGGTGTGGCTACCACCCTTTCAAACATTTTTGCATTCTTTGTCCAATGTCAAAAATGAAACCTTTAAAAATCACCTTTGTTGTTGTTGTTAAGTGTTGTCGACGCGATTCCGACCCATAGTGACCCTGTACAGGGTTTCTTAGGAGCAGCTGGTGAGCTTGAACCACCAACCTTGCAGTTCAAACAGCTATGCAGTCTGGCGCATTAACCCACAGCACCACACCAGGACTCTTTGTTGTTGTTGTTACATGCCGTCAAGTTGATTCCGACCCATAGCAACCCAGTATAGGGTTTCCAACGAGTGACTGGTGAGCTTGAACCACCGACCTAGTAGTTCACACAGCTTTGCAGTCTGACGCATTAGCCCACAGAGCCACAACAGGGCTCACCAGGATTCCTTGTTGTTGTGGTTATGTGCCGTGGAGTCGGTTCCGACTCATAGTGACTCTGTACAGGGTTTCCGAGGCTGAAAATCTTTACAGGAGCAGAAAGTCTCATCTTCCTCCTGCGAAACAGCTGGTAGTTTCCAACTGCCGACCTTGAGGTTCACAGCCCGATTTGTAACCACTACACTACTAGAGCTCCTACCAGGACTCCTTAGAGGGCAATATATTCTGAGTAATTTTTTTTCCCCAAAAAAAGGAATGAAGAGATGAGGGCCTACAATTGACTCTCTAGCTTGTTGTTGTTAAGTGCCACTGAGTCCGTTCTACTCAGTGATGCTGTATCGTGTTTCTTAGGCTTTACAGGAGCAGAAATCTTCATTTCTTCCTCAGAGCAACTGGTGGGTTCAATGTGTAGACTCTGTGGTTAGCAGCCCAGTGCATCTTCTACAGAGCCACTCTAGGACAAATGGAATAGAAGTCCTACATATCATTTAGTCCTAGCCTCTCATTTGTTTAGATGGGGACTTGTAGCTTGTGGAGGCCACATGTCCTGCCTAAAAGATGCTTAATTACAGAGTTGAGAACCCTGGCTCCCAGCTCCCAGCATATTGCTTTTCTCCTATACACTCTTCTGTAGTAATAATAGTTCTCTGCTCCCACAAAGATTCATAGCCTTGGGAACCCGACACAGGGTGTCTATGAGTCGGAACCAACTCCTTGGTATTTAACGACAACAACTTTTTTGCTGTTGCTAAGACTTCATTCATGATTACCTTTCTTTCTTGCAATAACCTTAACTGTTGTCGTTATGTGCCATCGAGTCGGTTCTGACTCATAGCAACCCTGTATAGGGTTTCTGAAAAGTGGCTGGTGAACTTGAACCGCCAACCTTGTGGTTCAAACCAAGCTTGCAGTCCAGTGCATTCACCTGTACCACCACACCAGGACTCTAATAACTTTACTAGCCTGTCATTATTATCCGTATTTCAGATGTGGAAACTGCTCAGGGTCACATACAGCTAGAGAGGTCTGGAGCAAGGATTCCACCCACTCATCCTTGCCACTGTACCACACTGTCTTCTTGGAATAGTGCTCAGTCTGACAAAGCTGCCAAATGCAAGGGATTTAACAAGTAAGGAGGCAGTTAACCCGTCCTTCAATTGCAGAGTGGGAGTGATGAGTTACGTCTGCCGTCACTCTTCCCAAGGTGAGCCTTCCTCAGTCCCAGCTGTTACTTTGCTATTCTACCACCGCTGTTCTTTTCTCAAGTTCAGCTGGAAGCTCACAGTCCTGGCTACCCAGTCTCTGGGAATAATCTGCTGTTTTCATTCCTTGAGAAACTTCTGCCTTTGGGAGTTCCCCATTGATTTTTAATGGTAATATTTTAAACACTTTGAATTTATTGACTATTCAGATGATTAAAATAAACAACCAGTGGGCTGGCCTTGACTCAAGCATCAAATGGACACTGTTAGTGAATGAGCTCTGTGTTTGAATAGAACGCCTGCCATGTTTAAGAAATATCTGTTCATGTTTATCTTGGGCCAGAGCTACTGCGTATCTCTGAATGGTGTTAATGTCTATGTTTGTTATTCCTTTTGCTATTCATTCCTGGCCCTTCCCCAGTCTCATCTCTCCCTGTATCTCTGTTTTCCAGGTTTGTGTTTTGCCTGCTTGATTCTAAGACAGCGTGATAAAGAATATGTTGACTTTGCAATCAGCAGTGTCAAGAGAGCGAGAAAACAAGCAAAGAGCTCTACTTCCCCAGCCATGAAACAACGGGAAATTCTTTCCACTTGTTGGAAATGGTCTATAAGTACTCATTTTGACTTGATATTTGGGGGTTAGAATTTATAGAGACAATTTAGAAATTTGTCTTGAAAGATTATGGAAAGTGAATCAACCCTAGATTGGCTCATGGTAATTTTTATGTCCAAGAAAAATAATTTGACCTGGAAAGGAATCAGTACGTAGGAGCTAAATTAGGTAAGTGGCATACTTGCTGAACATTCCAAGATCAAATCCAATAGCAAGTGAGTCAATAAAAGTAAGGGTCATAGAACTGCTTGGATGTGAATCCTTGTTCTTCTGTGACCTTTGATGAGTTACTCAACCCTTCAGTGCCTTCAGTTTCCTCTCTTATAACCTGGGGATAATCATGGTAACCTACATGTTGGGAGGATGAAATGCACTAATATGAGTAAAGTATTTAGAGATGTAACTTAATACATGTTACTGTTGTTGGTATCACATGAACATTGCCACAACACTGAACGGCAAAGAATGACTCTCCAGTTCTGTGGGTCTTTTGTAAATTCTGGGATTGGACTCTCCCTGAGTATGCATAGGGAAGCCAGAACTCATGTGGACTTTCCTTGCCCATAGTCAATGTTGTGAGGTCCCCCATACACCAACACCCATGCCCTGGGGTTCTCCTGGAGCTGGCCACCCATCATGAAACTTAAGTGTCCCCAAACAATACCTTGCCTCCGTCGGCAGTTGAGTTTCCTAAAGCAGGTTCCTTCCACAAGGCGGTTCAGGCGTTGCTGTTTGATCAGCTCTAAGATTTCTGGTTGAATCTTCTCCTTGAGTTCCCTGTGAAAGGATAAGTAGCAAGCTTTGAGAAGCAGTGCTTGGTTGAACAGGAATCATGAGAAGATGAGGCAGGGAAGCGTGAGCAGCATCTTTTCATGAACATCCCAATAGCTTCTACAATGGTGCTTGAGAGATGCATTTTTAAGCCTTATTGGTGCAGGCCATCAGTCATAACAACATGATAGATTCTCTGACATTTCCACAAGAGTCACAAAAGCACCAGCCACTTCACTGATGTTCCCCCAGACCAAACACCCCCCCAAAGTTTCTTCTATTTTGTAAAGCCACAGATATAAATTTATGTAGAAATCTACTCAGCTGGAACAAGACAACACATTTTTTACCACATCCCTCTGTCCTCCTCAGACTGTGATTTTCCTATAGCAGGTAAATGTCTGGATGATGTGTGACTGATCTGATCACCTGACCAAACAGGAACACTGGGCAACAATGTGAATCTCAGTCTGCAGCAAACGCAAGATTGAGCAGACAGTAGGATCACATTTTACTTTTTAATTCTATCACTCACAAATGGAAACAACAACACTGTCCCAGATTCCAGCCCTCAGAGATTAGAATAATTATGGGATAGATTGAAGATTACTTGCATCTTGTCCCAGGCTAATATGATATAATTTCATTTTTAAATCACTTTGCAGCAAAGATACCATAGCACAGTGCAATGGTTTTCAAATCTTTCCTCTTTTTCTTTTTAACAGAGATTTTTGTCATCTGAAATGGGACAGGGAAGCTAGGACACAGATTTAGAAGTCAGAAGACTAGAGTTTTAGTCTAGGCGTCAACAACTAGCAAGTCATGTAGTCCATTTAAGTCTCAGTGCCCTCATCTGTAAAATGGGGTTAAGAATCTTTCCCGGGCAACAGCAATGACTTCTAACGGAGACAGCATGAGGGCAGGTGCTCCAGAGGTATTGGACAAGAATACAAAGTATGACGTAATTTGTGTTGACGTTCTCTCTTTTATTGAAACCAACTACCTCATGTTGTTGTTAAGCGCTGTCGAGTCTGTCCCTGGCACCAGACTGCAGACCCTTGGTCTCACAGGGGGTCCACTGTCAGGTCAGGAAGGAGCATCAGCTATGAGTCAGATGCTATGCTATGTACTGTTTAGCTCACTCAACACACCCTCTCACACAAAAAAAACAACTTTTGGGCATATGTATTAATATTATCATACCCATTATACAGATGGGAGAACATCTCACAGAGGTTAAGTATAGAATGGACGTGAAAGGTACAGTCACCTCTCATGAAAAATGCTTCCATTTCACAATAGGTAAAAACACACAAAGGGACCTGTCCAAATGACCGTGTGTTCTAGTACTCCATTAATACAACTCTTGAACTTGAATGGCCTCAAACCTCCTGTCATTTGATACTGTTCCCACTGAACATTCATAAAGCATACTATGGAAATCTGGTTATAATAATAGAGCTTGCTACCTTAGTGAAACCTTTTCTGGGCAGGTCTCCTAGGATTTCATCACAGGCTTTTAGATCACTAAACCTATTTATTATCAGTGTTCAGCTTTTGTAAAATAGACTCAGTAAATTGCAGCTTTGGTGAACCCTGCTCTGCATGGAGAAGAAGGTGGCAAATCATTGATGCAGTCATAATAAATTAGTGCTCCTGAATTCCAGGATCGGGTGGGCAGCGGGGAGGGGAGGAAGGGCAGGCACTAGAGGTCACAGATATTTCAAAGGAAAAGGTTTTGGATTCCATCCATTCTTGGATTATAGCTATGTCTTTACAAAAGTAGTTGTCTTTCACAATAAAAACATTTAAAAAAAAAAAAAAAAAGTAGTTGTCTTTGGCTGAGGGTGAGCTGTTAAAATGTAGAGTAAAATGCAGAGAGAGAGATCATATAGGAAGAGATAACTGAAAGTACCTCTGAATCATTTTAAGTCATGAATTATGATTTTTTGGAGTCCTATTGTGGCACTACTGGATAAGCACTGGACCCTAAGGATGGGCTGAGTTGCAAGGTCGGTGATTTGGACTCACTGGCCACGCCTCGGAAACCCTATACAGGGTGACTATGAGTTGAGGCCAACTTGAGAGCACTGAGCAACAACACAACGTAACTTTGTAGTGTAAAATCTGGGTGGGACGCAGACAGGCTTACTCACAACACACACTATTGTGGAACTGACTTCTGGGATGGGAAATCAGAAAAAGTGACTTTTCTGCTGCCTAAGTTACATTTTTGGTTAAAAACCAAGGACTCCAAATACAACTGGGTAATGAATGAGGGAAACGCTACACTGATCCTCTTTCTAGACAACTTGCTCTTCTTGCCCTTCAAACTACTCAGTAGAGCTCTACAATTCACATGCTATGAAAATGTAATTAATCTGTACATTATGTTTCTGTGGCTGAGATGTGACTTCTAGGATAGTCCAGAAAATACCACCAAGCGCTGTAACTGGGGATTGAGATGCTCAGCCTGGAGTCAAGGAGGCCAAGGTCATGGATTCATTGGCCTTGCTTTGATAACTATTCTTCTAATTCTCTCTGGAAACCTTGTAAGTAAAAAAGAATAGAAGGGAAAGTCAAGATGAGGTGTTGGGAACACGTGGAGAGTAATTCATTTCACTGTTTCTGGGAAGTAATTCCAATTGTGGGTCCAATGAGAATACTGCCACACACAGAAGACACACAGAACCACGAGACTGATGAGATTCCTTCTTCAACCTGGATCTGTTTTCCTGAATTTGATGTTCATCAAATACAAGGGTGTTGAACTTTTGCTGTGAAGGGCCAGGTAATAAATATGCTAGGCTTGTGGGTCATAGAGTGTTAGTTGCAACTACTCAGCCAGCCCATTGTATGTGTGAAAGCAGTCATGGACAGTGCATAAAAAGTGAATGAGTTTGTGTTCCAGGAAAACTTTCTTCACAAAAATAGGTGACAGGCCGTATTTGGCCCAAAGGTCAGAGTTTGTGAACTCCAGATCTAGACGAAGTTAGTGGAGACTTCAGTTTCATGGAAATTGATGTTTATGACTCAACATTAGAAAGTCTCAGAGCTTAGCTTCGCCCTCGATCCTCTTCTGTTCTTTATAATAGAGACTCATGATTTTGAATAATTTTACGTGGACAACTTCTTAAATTTATCTTTCCATTCTAGACTGCACTGCTAAACACAGACTCATTTGTGCAACTGTTTACTAGGTCTCTCCACTTGGATGTCTCTGAGATAGCTCTAACTTGACATGTCCAAAGTTGAACCTGATCCCTATCCAAATCTCCATTTGCAGTCTTCTCTGTCTCAACTCCATCCTTTAATTGTTCAGGATAAAATCCTTGAGCTCATCCTTGTCATCTCTCTTTCTCTTACATACCACATCTCATCAATCAGAGAAAAAAAATCATTGTCTATTATCTTCAAAATAATTATATTACAGAATCTGATCAATTACCTCTACCTCTTGCCTGGATTGTTGAAATAGACTCCCACCTGCTCTGTTTCCAAGCACAACCTGAGAGTCTGGTCCAAGTGTCCAGGTCAGAGGATTCATTTATAAACCTAAGTTCGAACATGTTACTCCTGTGCTTAAACCCTTCAATGGATCTCCATTTACTAAAGTGCTTACAATGGCCAACAGAACCCTGTGTAATTAGACTCCTGGTAACCTTTCTAGCTTTACCACCTATTGCTCTATCCTTTCCTTATCCTGATTCACCACACTGGTCTCCTTGCTATTCACTGGACAGTCACACTCATTTCTACCTCAGGGCCTTTGCATTGGTAATCTCTCTTCCTGGAAAGCTCCTCACCCAAAGTCTTAAATAACCTGCTTCCTTAATCTTGCACACATCTTGCCTTAAATGTCACCATCCTAATTAGAAGAATCTACTCTGACCTCTCTATTTAAATTTGAAAACCCCATTTCTCGTATCCTAACTTATTGTTCATTGAATATATCTTTTTGGACTTGCTGTATAATGAACTTATTTACCATGTTAATTGTCTGTTTCTTCCCACTAGAATATAATCACCGTGAAGGTGAGGACTTGTCTGTTTTCATCACTGCTGAAATGCTAACACATAGAACAGTGCCTGGCATATGGTAGGCCCATGATAAGTATTTGTCAAATGTTTTGAACATTGAAAACTGTGCAAATGACAAGACTGTCTTACTGGCTTTGGTTATGAAGAAGCTTCAAGCAAAGTTTGTTACCAATCTTTAGCAAGGATGTAGATTTACAGAGTCGGCATTATCCTTATTTCTGGATCTATTTATTTTTACTTTTTCTTTCTATCTTACTTTTATTGTACTTAATAACACAAATGCATTTGCAGGATCAGTTTTACCAATTATATATTAATACTAAATTCTGACTTGTTGTTGTTATTGTTACACGTGCTGGTGAGTCAATTCTGACTCACTGCAACTCTGTTTATGGTTTCCAAGAAGCAACTGGTGAGTCTGAACCACTGACCTTGCAGTTCAAAGTGACCTTGTGGTCCAATAATCTTATCCTATAAGCGCCATACCAGGATGCCAACAAAATTCTGATTATCAGTTAATAATAAACCTACTCATAGCAATCCTAGAGGGCTGAGTAGAATGGCCCCACAGGGTTTCCTAGGCATTAATCATGTGGCCCTGTAGGATAAGCACTGAACTGCTAACCACAAGGTCAGCAGTTCAAACCTACCAGCCACTCCTTGGAAGCCATGCACAGGGTTGCTATGAATTTACAGCACTCAACAACAACAACAATCTTTATAGAGGCAGAATACCACGTGCATCTCCCATGGAGCAGCTGGTGGGTCTGAACTGCCAATCTTTCAGCTGCAGCTGAGTGCTTAACCATAGTGCCACCAGAGCCTCTTTAGCTAAAAATAAGATCATTTCCTTGAGTGCATATTATGGGTCAGGCATGTGCTATGATGTGTTTTTCATGCACTGAGTCCTCATAATAATTCAGTGAGGTACACCTTTTTATCATTATGTTTAGTGATGAGAAAAACAAAACTCAGAATGAGTTAAGTAAAATGCCTAAAGGTGATGCAGTTAAATTCTAGGAGTTTAGGTTTTACACATATGATTATTGCACTTCACTAGAATTTGTTCTTGCAATCTTCTTCTCTCCACAAAGATAGTGTTAAATTGCCTATTTTGAGACAGTTTAAGCTTTTTTTATATCCATTAATTTGGATAATTGGGTGAATGGACTTATCTTAAGTCACAGAAAGGAGAAAATAACAAATACCTCCTCTTTGAGATAATTAATCAAGAGCTATCAGCACCGCCCTTTGAATCTCAAGGTCAGCAGTTCAAACCCACCAGCTGCTCCTCGGAAACCTTATACAACGTCGTTATGAGTTGGAACTGACTCGACAGCACTTAGCAATAACAACATATAAAATAGAGTTTTATTCAACCTACTACATTTGTGTTGTTGTCAGTTGCCATCAAGTTGTTTCCAACTCACGTGTACAGAGTGGGAATACTCCACATAGTTTTCAAAGCTGGGACACTGGGAGCAGAGTGCAGGCTTATCTCCCAAGGAGCCTCTGAATGGGTTCATACTGTCAACCTTCCAGCTAATAGTGGAGTGCTAGCCACTGGCACCACCACGGGATTCCAACTGCACATACAGTTCCTCTAAATAACATTTGCTTATCAACTTGACATTTTCTTCCCAGAAAATATGATATCTTAAAAATGCAGCAGGGACTTCAGGGGTCAGCGCCGGGCTGGTTTGCCACCACACTGTATGCCACATACACAGAGGTGCCAGGAGATGCAGGGAGCATTCCAGGGGGCAACAGGCAAGGGAGCTTGGCCCAGGGGTTAGCTGGATTCCATACTGGCAGCCTTTCCCCAGACAACTTGCTTGCCCTTGCCTGCAAAATGAAAAGTTTGGTTAGGATAACTTTAAAGGTCCTTTTCAGCTCTAAAACTCAAACATCTTAAGCCCCAAGCTTCGGTTAGTGTTCAGTGTAATCTTGGAAAATGGGGTACTTTCCCCAAAAAAAGCACTGGGGCAAGTGTCTTGGGTTCACTGTCTGTGAACAGCTCCATGTCTGCTTCTTAAATGAATGGATAAATGATAACACACACACATCACCTGCCCCTTTTTCTTTGAGGACTTGAGTTTATCTCTGGAGCCCTCTAGACAGTGTTTAGATTCCTACCTAACCCTACAATGATCTCCTCCCTAATAGGTGATTTTAATGGAGTTCTGGTAGTATAGTGGTTACGAGTCGGGCTACTAATCTCAAGGTCAGCAGTTCGAAACTACCAGCCGTTCCATAGGAAAAAGATGAGGCTTTCTGCTTCCATAAAAGATTCACAACCTTGGAAACTCTACAAAGGGTTGCTATGAGTAGGAACCAACTCCATGGCACACAACAACAATGGTGCCTTTAATCAAAAAGGGGAATCCTGGTCCTGGTGTGGCACTGCAGGATAATGTGCTGGACTGCAACATTGACTGAACCATGGAGTCGGCAGTTCAAACCCAACAGCCACTCCTCAGGAACCTCATACAGGGTCACTATGAGTCTGAATCCACTTGACGGCACTTAATAACAACAGCCAACAAGGAAGGGAGAAAACATTTCATTGCTTCTCCTCACACAATACATGCAAAGATGAATGCTTGAAATAAAAGGAAAAGCAATTTTAGAATGCCACAGGGAGAACCTGGAGGAGTGAAGTTATAAAGTCAAAGCAGGAGAAAATCTTCACACCTGACATATCATTTAGCCTTCTAGCTTGGAACCAATGATGGTCAAACATTAATCTGCAGTGGAAACAACTCAAGTTGTCCAACAGATGAATGGTACTTCCACACAATGAAATATTATTCAGCCACAAAGAGAAATGAAGCTCTAATACATAGTGCAACACAGATGAACCTTGAAAACAGTATGCTGAATGAAGTAAAACAGGCACAAAAGGACAGATATTGTGTGATCTCACCTATACGAAATATCTAGAATAGGCTAGTCTACCAAGACAGAATATGATTAAGGGTTACCAGGGGGTGGGGGCAAAGGGAATGGGGAGTTACACAGAAAACATTCATTTGAAATCCCTTGGTCTTCACTGAAGCGGTTCCTAATGTCTCCTTTAGGTTTTAAGAATTCTTGTCAAAAGCGTAATAAAGTCTTCTTGAGTGGATCTATCTGCTGAGACAGATGCGATACAATCCAACATTTCAGTAGTGTAGGCCCTGGGGTAGGGTGACGCAGGGCTGACCCTCCTTGCAGGTGAGAAACTGCATCTGAAAGGAGCCAAGCCTCTTCTCCAGAGTGTGCTCTGCAGGGCTTGCTGGATGGTAAGAGCTACTTGGTACTTAACGTAGTTCTGGCAATGATGGGAGGAAGACACTTAAGAAGCATTTTTCCTCCCCTGCTAATTGCATCCCAACTGCCGTTCTTCTCCCCCATGTCTAATGGTGCTTCTAAGATTTAAACACAGAGGCCTAGTAGTTAAGTACTGTGTCTTCTCAGACTTGGGCACCTTTTAATCTCACCTCAGTCCTGAGCGTGACTAGGGAGCTCTAGTTGGGTGGACAAAGTATCAATTAAGTGACCAGCAACTCCTTCACCTGCTAGCAAGTTCCTTCGTCTCTTTGAAGGGAGTGAGGCTGACCTATCCCACTGGGAGGACGGTACATGATATACAGGGAGATTTGCAAACGGCTAAGCATTAAAAAGATCAAGTAGATGAGAGCAAGAATCAGACAGGGAGGTGCAAAAAGAGAAAGATCCTGAGGAGGAGGTTTCAGACAGGCTTCAGAATCATCCTATAGTTCAAGTTTGCTTCTTACAGAAGTTCAAACGAAGCTGTGTCCTATCATCTGAGAGCAGAATAAGAAGAGATGCCAAACATCTTTCTGACCTCCGTGGTTCTGTTTCCTTGTCTATAAAATCTCTGGGTAACAAAATGATCTTGCTTTTAGGAAAAGGGCTTAGGAAAATAAACAGTTCTAAGAAAGGAGCTCTAGTAGCATAGTGGTTATGAGTCGGGCTGCTAACCCCAAGGTCAACAGTTCGATACTGCCAGCACAGTTCCATGGGAAAAAGATGAGGCTTTCTGTTCCTGTAAAGATTTACAGTCTCAGAAACTCTATGCAAGATTGCTATGAGTTGAAACCAACTCCACAGGATTACTACTGCCAAGAAAAGAGGAAGCAGACAAAACAGTCCTCATGATATAAGTTCAGAAAAATTTAAAGATGGAGAAAAGGGAAACTAGGCAAATATGACAAGAGACATTTGATACAAAGTCTTGTAAAAAGGAGCCTCTCCTAGCCCATACTATATGCCTGGCGGCATGGAGTTGATACAAAATCCCCCGATGCCAACCAGAGCCAACTGGGCACGGAGCAGGCAGTTCTCTCTCTTGCTCTCAAGCTCTCCTTGCTTCCACACACCAGAACTCATGTTTTCATCAGAGCAAATGTTTATTTTGCTTTAATTATTGGTCGGGCTCATTCTGGCTGGGTTAGAGAATCATGCCACCCTAAAGGCACACACTTAAGAATGTTGTTTTACAATTAAAACAAAACAAAACAGTATTTGTCCCAAATTATAAGAAAATTCCAGTAATTCTTAGCTATAAATCTCTGTGGAGAACATGCAGTAACTGGACCACTTTTGGTTTAGGTCCATTCTGTTAGCACCTGCCCCCATCTTCCATTAACACCCGTCTTCTGCCCAGAATGTGCCAAGTCACTTTTGCCCAACCCTTTCCCAAGGTGCTAAGGCTTCCTTAAATGAGTTAAGAACATTTGCTGTGAATGTTGTTGGCTTTCCCTAAAGCACTCCTCACACAGGCCATTGTGTAATCGATTTTAACTTCAGAAATAGAGTCAGGGCCTTTGGGGAGATGGAGTACAGAGGTAACTTACAAAATTGGGCGAGACTGAAAGTCTTCTTGGTTCATCCTCTCAGACTGACGGATCTTCAGGATCTCGGTGTAACTCAGGTTCTGCAGTTTGCTCTTGAACTGGTCCAGGGAGCTAGGCTTGGTTGTAAGAGCTCTCATAACCTGCTCTTTCACCACCTGCATTACCTGTAGATGAAAGGAAGACCATCACTTTTTTGAGGAGCTGACTTGGCCATTCAGAAGACACTTTCAGAGTAAAAGTCTCCCTATATCTCCCTAATGCACACTGCATTCTCCGTCCAAACCTTGGGCATGCTTTTCCAAAGAGTAAACCCCGACTCTTCCCTCATACCACAGGAACCACGAGGAAGGAAACAGACTGATCATTTTGGACCTGGGGAGGGCTGGAACTATGCTCCATTTGCAGGATACATCATGTGGCTACTGCCGAAGCAACACTATAAACAAAGCAAACTCATGAGTCAAGAACTCAAGAAGGCCATGCAACAGCGTCAAGGCTGCATAGTAATTATTTTTACTAGAAAAAATTATTGTGGAGACACAATTAACTGTGGACGCTAGGTTGGCATCAGTTCAAATGAATGTGAACAGATACCCACGCACATCTCTCCCAGACTGCTTTCCCTGTGGAGCTCAGTCCTGGGTATTCATACAAATTACGCATTTGAAAATGTTTCTGTGGTATTATTGCCTCTCTGAGCAAGGCATTAAAAACCAGAGGTTTATTAAATTATAACTGATGTATTCCAATGGATGTTTCAAGAACAAAAGAAGAATATGGTCTAGCCCAAAAGGAGACAATGAACCACTGCCTCTATTAATAGAGACTCATCTTCACCAGATTGGATCAAGCAGGGAAAGACCAGAGTACGGAAGCATCTAAAGGGCTTGCTGTAATTTTGCTACTTCTGTTTTCACCCTCCTGTAGAGATGGGAACAACAGTTTCATTTTCTAAGGTATCTTACAATAACAACCATGAACCAAAGGAACCCTGGTTGCACAGTGGTTAAAGTGCTTGGCTGCTAGACAAAAGGTCAGCAGTTTGAACCCACCAGCAGTTCTGCAGGAAACAGATGAGGCAATCTGCTTCTGTAAAAATTACAGCTATGGAAACCCCATGGGACAGTTCTCCTCTGCACTACATGGTCCCTATGAGTCGGTATCGACTCACTGGCAATGGATTTGTCTTTCATTTTGTTTTTTACTATGTGCCAGATTTTTATTTTAATGTTTTATTGTGAATGATGTGATAATTTACATGCGAGAACATTAGCTTTACATTCATCTTATTGTATATTGTTACAGTGCCATGGTTACAATCCCCTCCATGCATCATCAAACAACCAAAGGGTATACCCTGCAAGCCTGCCCCCCCAGTCATCAGCACACAGCCCCTCTCCCTCTCTGGGTCTACAGTCCCCAGCCACGCCATTTCTCCACGTCATTTTCACTGCTTCTCTGGGTAGGTCCCACACTCTGCTCTTCTCCCTTGATGGTCCCAGGGACCTCCACTCTTGGACTGCAAAGTCAACCACTCCCCTCCTTTTGCTACAAAATGTCTACCTTTACATTTCCAACCCTCACAGTCAGTCCTGATAGCAATTATTCACTATTGTGCCACATGAGTGCTATCTACATCTCCTTTCATCAGTCCTGCCCAGACAGATTGGATACTACTCAGTGGAGATTCTGCCTTTCTCAGTGCCTTCTAGATCTAGAGTCCCTCTTGAAAGCTTGTAAGCCAGTCAATTCTTGCCTCTGTAGCTACCCCGCTCCATTTTGGGTAGCCAATGTCCAAGTTGCCCATCCCTGTCTACCCTGTGTATCGAGGGGGTGGAAATGATCCCCACTGTAAAGATTTGTTCCCTCTTTTGAGCTACTGCACCCATAGGTGTAGGTCAAGTTCATCAAATTGTATCAGATTTCTCTTTTTTTCCGCTTCTTTCTTCTTCTAGTTGAACTCTTTGATCATCCAGCCATTGAAGCCAGGTATTATCTGCAAGTGTGGGTGTTCTTGTGCATATGCCCCCTCTTCTTATCAGTTGGACGCTTCACTCTCCACTCTAGTCCTCTGTGGCTATGTCACTGACTCTGGGCCCAAGAGTCCCCAGGTCTTGCCACACTGCTGACCAACCAGGTCTCCACCCAGGTTCACAGGAGTCTCTTGAACATGGTTGGACTTAGCTCGCAGCTTCATTGCTGTTTTTCCCTCACTTCCCCTTTCTGGCGACCAATGTGGTCACCAGTCAGAGCACATGTCTGCTCGAGTATTCCCACTGAGTCATAGTCTTGGAAGGGGGTTTGCCCTGAGGGGATCGGACCACTTGCCTTGATGTCTCCTGGGCTAGCAACTTGCTTGTTCTTGTAAAAGTTTTTGCATTTTTCCTGTCGGTCGGTCTGTCTTTCAAGAAGTATCTTCTGTTCTTCTAGCTGCTCCAGGCTGGTCTGCCCTTCCTTTCAAGTGGAAATTTCCCACCTCAGAAGATTCCGGATGGGGTTCAGGATTCCACCTATGGTCTAATGCAATGCAGAGGCTCCGCAGGAAGCCTCCTTCACTGGGCACTTTGTATTCCCATTTGAGGTATTCCAACCAGTTATAGGCAGAAGATGGACTTACAAGCTTTCTTTGTTGATATTTCTGGCTATTCCTTTCTCTTCCCCTCAAGTGTCTATTTTATAATGGTATGCAAGGGAAACCAAGATTCAAAAGACAACCAAGCATCTTTACATTATTTCCCCCATTTTGCCCATTCCAACCATGTCTCAATCCCTGTATCTCAGAGCCCTGGTGTTCCAAGGTTGTGCATACAGCATTATTTACCTCTGTGCCAGATGTTTTTTACATACATGTTTTATATATACTTTCTTTGTTGTTGTTGTTATGTGCCATTTCTTTACCCATTCAAATTTATGAAGTTAGATACTATCAACCATTTCTACTTTATATAGAAGGAAACTGAAGCTTGGAGACACTAAATAGCTTATTCAAAGCATAGCTGGTTGATACATGACAGAGCTAGGATTTAAACTCAGAATTGTAAATGATCTACTACTATACTGCCTCCCATGCCATCATTCTAGGCATCATTTGGCAATTTTAAATCATTACAAGAACATATATATGCCCCTGTTGCATGTTTACAATCGCTATTAATCATCTTATTTGACCCTCCCTTCATGGTGATATAGTGGGTTAAGTGCTGTGCTGCTAACTCCAAAGTTGGAGGTTCAAACCCATTAGCCACTCTGTGGGAGACAGATGGGGCTGTCTGCGTCTGTAAAGACTGACAGCTTCAGACGCCCACAGGAGCAGTCCTGCTGTGTCCTATAGGTTGCTATGAGTTGGAATCAACTTGATGGCAGTGTTTTTTTTTTTTTTTTGGTCAATAGAGTAGAGTAGATGTTATTACTACTACTATTTTTAAGATGAACTGAGACAGAGAAGGAAATGATGACAAGTCCAAGTTCACCTATACCTAGTTGAGTTCTAAGATATTGTGATGGTTAATGTTATATGTCAACTTGACTATGGTCTCCAGTTGTTTGACCAAACACTAGTCTAGTTGCTGTGATGAAGCAATACAAGCGATTGCATCAGCTTCCATAATATAACCCAGCACAGTGTAATATCATCTCTTCTATGATGTAAGCGAATGAAACGTAATCAACTGGTCCATTGAAAAGGCAGCTTTCCTACACTGTATTCTGCCTCCAGAGTAGAAATAGAATTATTGGCAGAACTATTTCTTCATTTTTCACTCTGCACTTTTCCTGTCACCTGACATGGATTTGTGGATGTAACCATTGAGTTGGTTCCGACTCATAGCGACCTTGTATAGTATTTTCAAGGAGCGGCTGGTGGATTTGAACCACTCAAACTGACATTGTAGTAGAGTGCTTAGCCTACAGCGCCACACCAGGACTCCCCTTATCCACTATTGATTTTAAGTGCCGTCGAGTCAGTTCCGACTCATAGCGACCATTTATAGGAGGGCTTCCGAAGAGCAGCTGGTATGTTTGAACCACCAACCATGGGATTCAAACTGACCTTGCGGTCCAGTGCTTTGTCCCACAGCACCACACCAGGACTCCTCCCTTATCCTTTAGGCTATTTCTCAAAGTACATGTCCACCCCATCTGCCCTGTGAGGAAGTGATTACCGGCAATGGCAAAGGTGTGAAAGCAACTGTCCTCTGGACCTCTAGTTCATTCGAGTTTCTAGGACCATGGTTGGTTGCTCCTTGCAGTCTAACTCATCATTAGCTTACCTAAAGTCAGGATGTATTGATAGAAGCCATCAACACATATTTGCTTGGAAAGCATTATTTGTGAAGTCAACCCAACAGAAATACTGTGAACCTACCAAGTACAGCATGCTAGGCACTAGGAATTCAAAGACAAGCTAGATACAGTCCTTGCCTACTTTGAACTAATGGAATGAATGGCCCAATACGAGAGAAAAATGCAGTGGAGTGTGCAAGTCATAGAGAAGACAGACACACAGACTATGTTGGCAGGTGAGGAAACACTTCAGAGCAGAAGACACTTCATAAGGGTTTTGAAGGAAGAATGGGCATTGAATGGTGTGGAAATAGATAAATAACATGGACAACACCACACATTCACTTTGAACCTGGCTGCCTCTGAGTTTGAACCAATCACATTCGCATCTTTACACGCTCCCAGCAAAAAAAAAAAACACATAAAAGAACATTTCCAGTTGAACCTCCACCTGGTGTGCCTTTTTTTTACTCAGGTGAAACGCTGAATTTAGGATGCTTGACAACTTTCGCAACTGTGACCATCTTACATCCTGTGGTTTCAATCATGGTTGGATTTCGTCAAGGCAGATTTTGCAGGCTCACGTGAGAAGCACTGAGGAGCTGCTCCATGCCCCATTAAGAGAGAAGGGCTAAGGGGACCATTATTGTCTCTCAATGTTATTTGTCTTCTTGTGAGAATCAGGAAATGTGAAAGCGGGGAAGACACAGTGACTGCTGTTTGTTGTTGGGTGCCATCGAGTCAAGTCCAACTCACAGTAATCATATAAAACAGAGTAGGATTATCTCACAGGGTCTCCCAGCTGAAATCTCACAGGGTTAGCAGCTGAGAACTTTAGTCACTGCACCACCTTACACATCTATTGTGGTGGTTATGTGCCATG